CCTCGTATCGAACACTATTTTTTATTCGAATGAAAGATTACACGAATAATAAAATGCATCGATTTCATATTTAAAATTTTGTGCCAATGTCATTTTTTGAAGTTTGTAATTAAGTTTAAGTACTTTTTCAACTTGAAACACCTGTGGTCTTGGGATGGTGTACGCATGTTGCATACTCTGCATGACATTTGCGCTTCTTAAAAAGATCGTGTTTTACGTGTGACAACATCGCAAAAGTAGATAAGTAGGCCATTAAAACGATTATGAGACTGAACTTGTAACAAAGGTATAATTTACAAATTGTAAGTAAACTTGAAAATAGGATCAATAGTTGTTGATAAACCTACGTAATTCCTTAAAAACGCAGTTCGGTTATTTTTAAATAAAAATACTAAAAAATATATAATGACAGTGGCAAATTCAAAGTGTCACATTTAGTTTGTCGCACACTGTGCGGCAAAGTCCGTGCGTAAAAGTAAAATAAATGAACGCTAAAGAAAAGTGCTTCTTTTTGATCATCGCTTCTGTTCGCAAAATGGCACTTTTTGATTCATTCGAATAAAAATGTTATTTGTAGTATTGCAAATGTATTAGTTGTAACAGCCGCGTCGTTCTGCAAGTTGAAAAAGGACTGACTGATTTAACCGACCCTTATTTTATTTTCACGATGTCCTGCACGTTTCGCACATGCTCAGAACTTGTTGGCCGAAAACTCGAAATTTTAGTGCCGTCAGTCGCCGGTCAGCCAGTTGCAGCGCTACCTGCGTAGCGCGGTAACAAGGACGCCCATATGATTGCCACCTCTCTTATTTTACTTACTCTATGGTATGCAGGCGACTGCGCCACTTACCCCCACTCACCCAACCCTCTTCGACAGGTGTCTGCAAGATGGAGGCCGAAGTGGTGCGCATGGTCTGCACGCTGTTTCACGGCGACGAACAATCGTGCGGCACCATGACGACGGGCGGCACCGAATCAATCATGATGGCCTGCAAAGCCTACAGGGACTACGCACGAGAAGCCAGAGGCATCAGACGACCGGAAATGGTAGGCAGTTGAATTAAAATACATCTTCATGTCTGCCGTGTGGTTTAAACCGACTCCAACAGGTGCTTCCGGCCACCGCCCACTCAGGCTTCGACAAGGCAGGCCTCTACTTGAACATACGTCTCAGGCATGTGCCGATCGACCCAACCACCTGCCAAGTGGACCTGCAGGCCATGAGGCGGGCCATCAACCGCAACACCGTGATGCTGGTTGGATCGGCGCCTAACTTTCCTTACGGTAGGTCAGGCAAGGGCGGATCCAGGGGGGTCAGGGGGGTCATGCCCCCCCCCCCAATTCAATTCTCTATCCAACGATGCCGAAACGAATTCTCTGGCTCAAACGGGGCCTGAGAAACTGCCAAAAAAGCAACGTCGTGTTTGAGTCAATTTTGCAACTGAAAAAAAAGCACGCAAATCTAAAACTTCTTGAATTCAAGCATTTTTTGGGAAAACTGCCAACAATGCAAAACGGGACGCAAATCATGAAACATTGTCGATCCAACAGTCCCGTTAACAAAATGGAAAATTTCGCCTATTTTCAATCGCCTTGTATTTAAATGATCAATCCAATTCAAGTGACTTAAAACTTAAAAGTTAGAATATCGATAGTGGCTAACTGTTCATCAAGTGTGTAGATTGTGCCAACAAACCAAAAGGTTTTTATTAGCACCTACTCAGTTGTATTTTAGTTGAAACACAAGAATAAATCAAATTACACTGCATCTAATCCGCTGATACAGTGAAAATTAACGCCCATGTTGAATCGCCCTGTATTCAATGGTCAATGTGAAACACAAGGCCTAAAATCTTTAAGTCTCTGCTAAAAATCAGAACATTGATGGCGACTAACTGTTCATCAAGTGCGCGGTCTGTGCCAACATCATAGCCCCATCGACGTTCTGACCTTTAGATAGATGAGTTTTGATCAATTCACCAGATGCACCTAAGTGTCTGATATTCAATTTTCGCTTTCTGTGTCAAAACCACTCGCATTTCCTCACTCATGTGGTGATGATTAAATCGAGTTTTCAATTCTCTATCCACGGGGCCTGAGAAACTGTCAAAAAAGCAACGTCGTGTTTGAGTCAATTTTGCAACTCAAAAAAAAAGCACGCAAATCTAAAACTTCTTGAATTCAAGCATTTTTTGAGAAAACTGCCAACATGGCAAAACGGGACGCAAATCATGAAATTTTGACTTTAAAACTGGACCCGCCCCTGTTCAAATGCCAACTGTCAACGAACTGTCTTCCAGGAACGACTGACAACATATTCGAGATCGCCAACCTGGGCACAAAGCACAACATCCCGGTGCACGTGGATTCCTGCCTGGGCGGCCTGCTCACCGTCTTCATGGACCGTGCGGGTTACCCGCCGCCCGTGACCGATTTCCGGCTGCAGGGCGTGACCAGCATCTCGGCCGACACCCACAAGTACGGCTTCGCCCCAAAGGGCACCTCCGTCATCATGTACCGAGCCCCCAAGTACAGGCACCACCAGTACACCGTCACCACGGACTGGGTGGGCGGCGTTTACGGCTCGCCCACCGTCAACGGCAGCCGATCGGGCGGCAACATCGCCACCTGTTGGGCGGCGCTGCTCTACCACGGCCTCGAGGGCTACGTCAGCGCCACCAAGGACATCATCTACACTGCGCGGTTCATCGAGAAGGGGCTGCGCCGGATGAAGGGCATCTACATTTTCGGCCAGCCTGCGACCAGCGTGATCGCGCTCGGCAGCGACGACTTTGACATCTACCGGCTGGCCGACGCGCTGCACAAGCTGGGCTGGAACCTGAACACGCTGCAGTACCCGCCGGGGCTGCACCTTTGCGTCACTCTGATGCACACCAAGCCGGGCTTGGCGCAGAAGTTCCTGGACGACACGAAGGACTCGCTCGCCGAGATCCTGAAGGATCCTGCGGTGCCCGTGCAAGGGCGCATGGCCCTCTATGGCACCGCGCAGAAGTTGCCCGATCGGTCGATTGTCGGCGACATTACCCGATTCTTCATCGACTCTATCTATTATATTCCGCCGTCTGATGCGCAGCCACAGGACTGATGTTCACAAGGACCTACTTAATTTATCGCTGTTCTTTGTTGTGTTAAAATATATGAAATTTTACTAAAACTCGGCCTCTTTCTTCATGCGTCAAAACTCTGCCCGACTTTTTGATTTGTTGGCACAATCTACACACTTGATGAACAGTTAGTCACTATCGACGTTCTAACTTTTTGATTCCGAGTCGCTTGAATTGAATTGAACATTTGATACAGGGCGATTGAAAATCGGCGAAATTTTCCCATTTTTTACTTTATTAGTGATTTGCTCCCCAACTCTAGGCTCATTCGAGATCGACGCGCTTCGTTCTTCTGCAAAGGTTTAGAGGGTGGAGTGTGGGAACGCAGCAATGGTCCACTGCTTTGCGTCCGTTTGCTATTTTGCTAATATTTTCAATCGCCCTGTATTAAATGTTCCAATCCAATTCAAGCGACTTAAAATCAAAAAGTTAGAACGTCGATAGTGACTAACTGTTCATCAAGTGCGCAGTCTGTGCCAACATCAGAGCCCCATCGAAATTGTCTATTATGTATTGTGTTAAGCGGCGGAAAATTATTTTTTTTGGTGGAATTTACTGTGCATTAGATGGTGATTAATAAATAAAATACTAATAAACCAAAAAATAGAAAAGTGTCACGACACGAACGCATAATATTCAAGTCGGGCATTCTTTAGCGGGCTGCCGAGTTCCACATATAAACTGTTTCTGGCAGGGAGATTTGCGTCATTTTCGTTTCATTCGCGATTTTAATCCGCCAGTTTCCATGGCGAGTGAACGACGAGACGAAATAACGACTGGAAAACGTGGTTTTTGCGTGTGACAACGATCGAACGCGTTTATTTCACCGTTATAAGCCACATCCACATAACATGCCAAACAAATAAAACTACCGACGAAGACGCTTTCTGGCCATGCTCAACTAGACGAAAGAAAACACACGCTGATTTTCCCGCAGTTATTAATTAATTAACTTGAAAAGTCAATGTTGACAGTGAAATGTCAATTGACTCATTAAGCCACAACACAGGAGAAGAAGAGTTGGATCTGCGCAACCTTTGAAAACGGTTTTCCTTAGAGCTCAGTGTCACTTTCGGTTCAATTTTTCGCGTATGCCTGATATTTTGCTCAGAATTCGGCGCAAACTACTAGAATTAAACATTAAACTCAGGGACGGATCCAGCGTTAATGTAGAAAAAATACAGTCTTCTGTTGTTTATGAAATTAGAAAAATGATCGTCGTTTTGTGCAAGGGTGGCGCAAGATTATTGCAAAATTTCATGTTCTCCGTCCCGTTTTGCATGTTTTTCGGAAGCAAAATGAGCAAGAACGCTCGTTTTTACGTCATTCCAGAGATAACTAAATGGCCTTTATTCGACGTTTCTCAAGAACCATTCGAGCCAGAGAATTCGTTTTGGCATCGTTGGATAGAGAATTGAATGGGCCTTGGTCAAACCACTATATTTCTTAATATTTTCGCTGTCAATTGTGTCAATTACGCATTCCCGGCATTGCCGTTATTGGTACAGTTTGTCAAGTCCTCGAAATAAACATCACAACTTTTCTCATCGGACCAGGGGGCGGCGGCTAATTAGCCCTAGAGGAGCCCTGACACACCTCAACCGGCCCTTGTTGTTTTCTAATTACCTTCAAAGTTGTGCAAACTTTGCCTGTCCCGAAGAAAATGGCTTTCGCCCCCTCTAAGCGGGCGGCTAGATCAAGTTTCCACCCCCACATGGGCACAGACACCGAAAAGTTGACTGGCAACCCGGAAAACATACAGGGGACATACAAGAAACCAGACCTAAAATTATTGATGGCGCTGTTTCGAGCGTAACTTATAGAGCGATTCGGAGAATATTTAATTCTTCAAGTCAGAACGTCAATAGGATTCGGTTGCCCACAACCATCGATGTTCTGACTTTGAGGACTTGACAATGTTTTGTTGGGGAGCATGCTTTAAAGTCAGAACATCGTTGGGTTTTCACCATCAGCAACCATCGATGTTCTACTTTGAAGACACAAAACGTACTCTCTTTTTCTTCAAACATTTACAAAACAATAACAAACAAAACATTACAAACTTACATGTACGTTGTGGTCCCAAACCATTTCTGAGCGATGAGCATTCAGAATGTGAGAGTGTCAACTTTGGAACAGCCCGGTATAGTTTCGGGTCCGGCGCCTCGCAGAGCGTCGCGCTTTGAACAGCCGTCGGCGTCGTTTCCAAGGTAACGCGCCCGAGTTTCATCTGTTTAGTGCGACGAGCTTTCCACAGCCGACTGGATCACACATTGCTGCCGGAAAAGCGGCGCGACAAACCGGTTCCGATACCATTCGACAGGTTGGCGTGTTTTTGCGGCAAATGGTTTTCCCCCGACTGATGATGTAGCTGAATGCCGTGCAGTTCGAAACGTTGCCCAGCTGGATGCCACGAGGGTGGTCGACGTTCAACCGGGCCCTGCTACTGAAGGTATTTAAAATGTCATTATTCCCGTGATGGACTTTTTTTGAGCGACATTTAGAAATAAACAAAAAGTGATTTTGAGCGCGTTGTCGTTTGTTTTCGTTCGGCGCTGTGATTGTCGCGGTTGCTTGCTTTTCTTGGCACCGACCAACAGACTGAACCTATCATAGTTGAACAACAGCGAGTCAGTCGGGAATTTTTTTTATTGCACTAAACCACTCGAAATGTGTGTACACTGCGAACGCATCTGCTCAAATATTACATAAAAGCACTCAAGTGCCATCAAATGCACAGCAAACACCAACTTACACTTAATGGCCGCAATGTTCCCTTATCGGAACCGATGGAGCTAAAATGTGCCTTGGCATATACAGGGTGGCCTCGCAAGCGCGCAATCTGGACAAGGCCGGGAATAAATGGAAACACGCGCGAAATTCCGTTAATTCACTGAACAGTAATTCGATTTGAAACTGCTAATTGTCCGCCGATGCCATGCCAACAACCCCTTTGTTCCCTGCTAAGTTAATTAATAGATTATTGCCAATTGAAGTGCACTGAGGGCTCTTGATTGTTGTTCGGATGCATGGCAAACAAGACGAAAAGCCGCTCTATTCTGGCACCCTGCCCAGGCATCGGGCGTGAATCTGATCTTAATTAAATCAGCGGAGAAGAAACTGATGAAGATTAATCTTCAGATTGCTAGGAATGACAAATCCATCAACTTTTACCCAAGAGTAATAAACGATCGCAGTGGCCGAAAAACTTTTAATGTGTGCGTCGGCCCTTTAAACCTGTAATTTGCCGTATTGTCGATGACAGCGAAATTGCAGAAAACTTTTTTTAATGCATTTTACTTCTGCTGAACTGTTCGCATATTTTAATAAACTTTTTGAACACATTAGAAAGTATTTAATGTCGAAGTTGTGCCGAGCCCTTAAGGCACGACACTGGTTTGGATGCAAAAACACTCTCAACTTTGAACCTAAAACATTGTCGATCCAACAGTCCCGTTAACAAAATGGAAAATTTCGCCTATTTTCAATCGCCTTGTATTAAATGATCAATCCAATTCAAGTGACTTAAAACTTAAAAGTTAGAATATCGATAGTGGCTAACTGTTCATCAAGTGTGTAGATTGTGCCAAAAAACCAAAAGGTTTTTATTAGCACCTACTCAGTTGTATTTTAGTTGAAACACAAGAAAAAATCAAATTTCACTGCATCTAATCCGCTGATACAGTGAAAATTAACGCCCATGTTGAATCGCCCTGTATTCAATGGTCAATGTGAAACACAAGGCCTAAAATATTTAAGTCTCTGCTAAAAGTCAGAACATTGATGGCGACTAACTGTTCATCAAGTGCGCGGTCTGTGCCAACATCACAGCCCCATCGACGTTCTGACCTTTAGATAGATGAGTTTTGATCAATTCACCAGATACAGACAAATGACTTTTGGTTCAACGATCCGGCGAGCAGATAAACTCAATTTTCCGCAAATCAACAAGCAACGCTCGGTTTGCATCGGAGATCTTTACTATGCCCTTAATAGGGTTCAAGTTGAAAACCAAACAGCAGCCATTGAGAGTTTGAAATTGAGAACAACTCACTCCAAGTGCGTGCTAATCATAAAAGGCAACGCAACATCGCCTAATCAAGGAAAATGAGCCCCTTAGGCTTTCGATCTTTGCCAGTTTCAGTGCAAAAAGCGGATTGAATTTCGCCATTTAGAGCAATTTCAAACCCAAACACCACAAATATGCAAATCTTAAAGCAAGAACGCAGGGTTTGCAGCCGCACATAATGGGATCCAATTAATTGGAAAACAACTGTTGAATTTGTGGAAAAGTCAGAACATCGATGGTGGCCATCTGTTCTATCGGCAGTAGAGTCCCATCGACGCTCTGACTTTTAGACAAGTTTTGACGAATGTTCCACCACATAAACAATTTTCCTAAACCTTCTTGCCAAACACTCCAGATTCGCTTAGGATGCTTCCGAGCAGGGCAGATCCGCAAAGCACAAAACTTGGCAGGCAAAAGTTTCTAATTAGAAAAATCGAAAGCGTCCGTATAGTGTTGCTTGTAATTCTGAAGCAGCATTATCGAACCTCTCGGCTTGTTTGCGCTCGCCGCAGGAATATTCAATTACGTATTACATTGATGCTGCCGCTCTTCTTCAGCCTGCAAAGTTGTTGTGTCCGAATTGAACTTGGAGTGCAATAAACATTCGAAAAATGCCATCAGTGGCGGCGCAGCAACAGGCGAAAGCCACCAAAGTGACCACCCAACTGCTCTGCTGCTATTGAGTTTCCCGTCCCAGTGGATCACATTAATTTAATTTTTTTTCGGAAAACAGGTTGCTTGAGTGGAAATATATCGCAGAGCCGGGGGGCGATTCCATTCAGGAATTATGATAAGTTGGCAACGAGTAGGTTGAGACTGGATTTATGAGGCAGGGGAGCGGATTTATTGGCAACGATATCCGCAGTTATTTACGCAAAGCGGTTTGTCAAGCACAGCAAATGATGAAATTTACCGTAAATAAAACTTCGAGTGAGCTTCGCCCAGTTTCGCACCTGAGTTTTCTTTAAAATTAGATTGTTTGGTGACGCCCGGAAAGCTCTAGTAGAGCTAGAAAAACCGATAATAACGACAAACGCTCATCTCAGAGTTTGAGGCCTCAAATGCAGATATGCAGAGCACAAAGTCTTATTCTAGTCGCAGCCAATTACCTTTTGTAAGTACAATGAAGTAAATGTTCGTTGAAATGGCCCTTTTCGCGTCGCAGTGAACGTCTTTTGCGCCACGGGCGCAGATTTATTTGTGAAAATTGGATAATAATTGCTTCTATTATTTCAACGTCGATATCCTGGGGCGCGTTGTGCGCCACGCTCTCCCCCATCTAGACCGGTTCAGATGTAATTAAAGTTACTTAAGCTGGAACGGGTAGGAATTCTCGTCGCCCTGTTCCAGAACGGATTTAAACCGCTCCCGTCACCTGGCCTTTGTTGGCCCCGAACGTTTTCAACAATGCGAAATGTTTTTAATCATTAGGCACCAAATTGCGAAACCACAATGTGATTATTCCCAATTTGCGCCCGATTGGCTGGCCAAACAACCATAAATCCCAGACCACCACGACAACAATGATTATTCCCAAAATTAGGTCGGTCGTTTTTCAATTTTTCCATCCGATCCGCTCCGAGGGGGCGGATGAATATTTATTACAAAATTAATAATTAGTCTGGGCAACCGGATATTATGTAAACGATCGACGCCCGCATCAAGAGTTATTAATTGGCGCACTTATTTTAATCGCCCCATAATTATGGCACGCTTGTCTCGATCGCCATCCTGAATAAAGGCTCGTCTGGGAATTAGCGAACCCTTCATTCTCCTTCGGGCCCGAAAATCGCAAACAGTGATCAGTTTCCCGAAAACTGTTCGTCTTACTACCGCTTTTGCGGCTTATGGCCAAGCAAATACTGAATGCATTGTTAGAGCCGGTGGAATGACGTGAAACTTTGCCATAAACCATGGCTGAGCCCTAGTCAAACATCCAATAAATATGTGTTAATTTGAATAATAAATTAGATTTCCTAACGCAAACAAATCTAAGCATTCTGAATTAAAAGAAAAATCCGACTCATTAAATCCAGAACATCGATGGTTGGTGGCGACAAAATCCCAACGATGTTCCAACTGTAGACGTCGCGATAGACGCCCAACGTCTTTGTGGAATTCAGTCGTTCGATAAAACGTTGCGTCTGAACCGACCTTTACAGCCAGATGGTTGGTGGCGATGAAATCCCATCGACATTCTAACTCGCTTTAAGCGAGTGCGGACAAAACACCCTGGTGGGTTCCTCAAGATGCAAAAAACGGGCCATTCGAATGCAAATGAGGCCGCCTCCGACCAATGAAAGTCACTTTTTCTCTGTTGGCACTGTTTCCAGCGATAAACAGACCATCTATATTAACCGAATAGATTTGCGCTCAGATTCCATTCGAATAGATTTCCGCTCAGAACGATCTAAAATATGTGAATTGCCGGCTTAAACCGGCTGATTACAACTTGACAATCCGATGGGGAACTGGAAATATCTGATGGCTGAATCAGCGTGTTTCCTTCTTATTTCAACCGGAATCTGGCAACTTTCCCAACAGGACCAGCTAAGAGGCGAAAGCAAAGTGGGCCACTTCGTTTCGTTCGGCAATTTAGAGTTTCACTTATTTAAAGTTTGGCAGTTAAGGGTGAAAAACAAATAAGTGCCATGTTTTCTCCATGTTCTGGTTCAACCGGGCAATGCCCACCACAAGCGTAACTTTCGGGAGATTACGCCGTCGTCAATACGAAGTTCTGAAGAAACCTCTGAAGATGGTAGCTAGGCGTGTGAGCGAAACCAAGGACCAAATTCCCATCAATAATGCGAAAATCTTCCAATTTATTGGGCGTCAAGTCGATGGTTGTTTGGAGCTTCAAGTACCGTCCAGGGCAAAAGCTTGAATTTTGAGTACACCACTGAGTCGAACTCAAAAATAGCACAGATCCGATACAATCAAAACTTGTCTAGAAGTCAGAACGTCGATGAGTGCAAGGCGTTGCACATGCAGCATATGAAGGACCAGCGATTTTTTACGATAAACAAATAATTTGTTGCGCAATTTGGGAAGGCAAATGTTGCAGATAAAATTTAAGAAATCGCTCCAAAACCATGAAATCTAGCAAAGCAACAGAGAATCTCAATCGGACAACTTTGAGCGTCCAGCTGTCAATAATTGTGCAAAACAGCGTTTTTCAATGCGGGCGGAAGCTCTCGGATTGGAGGCTTTATCAGGAATAAGTTTAGTCACTTATAGGCCCTGTTTGGGGGAAATAAACGACAAACCAAAGCGCCCAACTGATCTGGCATGCTGATAACATTGGGAAAAGTCCGAGAATTCCGGCGAAAACGTCAAGTAGTCACATTGATGGGAAAAATGCTGTTCAATTCGAGGCCATCAAG